CCTGAGTTTGACCCCTGGGCCTCCCCCACGTGATAGAAGGAAGGCACCAACTCCCTCTGACCTCTGCACACACATGCCCCTCACCTACATGCAGATGCCTACACATTTGCAAAGAAATAAATGTGATAAAGATCAAGTTGTAAACATTTGGGAAGCAGGTCTACACGTTGTTTTTCTGCCTCTCCTTCTGTTCACACCGTACATCATCACTGAGAGTCTGCTACATTCCAGGTAGACAGTTTAGCAGGCAGGGCTCTCTCAGTTCCCACAATTAAGGGAAGGAAGAGAAGGTGGGGGTGAGGGGGCTTGAGGAAAGGTGCAGGATATGGTCTCCTTATGAAATAGTCACAAGAGAGAGGCACTCAGACTCCCGAGCGACGACCTAGAAGCACTCAGCATCCTGGACTAGGAAGTAGTCTCATTCTCTGAGGGATTGGCTGCCCATTCATTCACCCACCTCCTCACTCATTCATTCACCTGGTAAATATTTGATGATCCCTATTTCACCCATGTGACTCAGGGCATCGGTCATACTATACCCCAAGGTTGACGTGTGTGTGTGTGTGTGTGTGTGTGTGTGTGTGTGTGTGTGTGTGTGTATGTGTTGGGGTACCAGGATCCTGGAAAACTGGTGGTGAGTTGCTTCTTTGTTATTTCCTGTTCAGACCAGCTTCTAAAAATGGTCTTCAGGGAAATGGTGTCTTCTCAGCAGAGGCAGGTAAATCTGGTATTCCTGGAGGGCAGGAAGACACTGGCCTCAACTGAGGCCAGAGGCCAGTCTGTGGGTCACTTTGGAAGCTCTTCCTTGGGCCAACACCATGTTCCCTTTGAAGTCTGCTCCTTCTGTGATTTTTCTACGAGATTTCTAAACAGCCCTGGGAGGTCTTAGGCTGTATCTTAGATGGGAAGGCTAAGTTTAGGAGATGTGTGATTTCCTTAGGGGTCATGGTTATGGTAAGGGCTGGGCTGCATCAGAGCACACAACTTTCTGGACACCTTTGGGACCTGCATGATATACTTAGCACATGTCCAGACGTCCAGACAGCCAGGCCTGATGCAGAACCTGAGACAGAGAGACGTGATCTTTGACTCCCCATGGTGAGAGAGGAGTCCCTGGAACAGAAAGCTTTATTTTTCAGATCTAACTGCTCTCCTCCGCTGCCCTGGCCCCTAGCAGCTCCCATTCAGAAGTTTAGCTAACAAACTTCCAAATCCTCAGTCCTAGTGATCCCATGCTCTGTGTAAAAAATATTTTTAGTTTTAGAGACAGGCTCTCATTATGTAGCCCAGGCTGTCCCTGAACTTGAGATCTTGCCTCAGTGTCCTAAGTGTTGGCATTGAAGGCAAGCGCCACCATGCCAGGCTCCAAAATCTAATATTATTGCCCAAACTTTAACTCCATTTAAATTATCCATTCCCTAATTCTAACTGGAATAGATCACTCCTAAGGACAAATTCCCCTCCCAAATTCTTATGGGGGACCTACACCTCTTTCTTATGATCTATACAACCCAAGGCAGTCCCAAGCACCTCTAAGCAAGGAGAGGGGCTAAAACAGGGTACAGGTAGGTGGGAAGACGCCACCCTTATCATGAAAACAATTCCTTTTTCTCTCCAGGTGTCCAGGTCTTCATGTGTCTCAGGCACCTCTGGAAGGAAAGGGTAGGGGTAGAAATTGTGTTAATTCTTCTAGATATTCTCTTGAGCATCCTCAACAGGCAAGTCTTTCCAACCAGAGGAATCAGTAATGGAGGCATGCTGGGAAACCAAGCATTCATTTATTCAAGGAATAGTACACCAACAATCGGATATCCCAGGGCAACCTGGGCGAATCAGATGTGTAGTTCCTGTTCTCAGGAAGATTATCATTTATGGACAATGAATTTTTTGTTTTGTTGAATGTCTGTAGTGAGCCAGGTTCCTGCGCAAAGTACTTATCCATGTCATACTTTTATTGAATTGCTCTTACTCCAGGGAAGTGTTTCTCAACCTGTGGGCCACGACCCTCTGGAGGGGGGTCAAACGATTTTTTCACAGGGATCGCATATCAGATATTTACGTTACAATTCACAACAGTAGCAAAATTACAGTTATGAAGTAGCAAGGTAGTCATTTTGTTTTTGTTTTGTTTTCCAAGACAGGGTTTCTCTGTGTAGCTTTGGAGCCTTTCCTGGAACTCATGCTGTAACCCAGGCTGGCCTCGAACTCACAGAGATCCGCTTGGCTCTGTCTCCCGAGGGCTGGGATTAAAGGCGTGCACCGCCGCCGCCGCCGCCGCCGCCGCCACCACCCGGAACAACGTACTCATTTTATGGTTGGGGGTCACTACAACATGAGGAACTGTATCAAAGAGTCGCAGCCTCAGGAAGATTGAGAACCACTTCTCTAGGGAAAAGAACTATGGATCCATTTTGTAGATGAAGGGACTGAGGTTCTGAGATAGTGAGCAACTTGGAGTTCCTCTGCCAGCATTGCCTCTGTGTGGGGCAGGGGAGATTTCCTTAACCCTGATATCTGTTTCTGAACAAATTTGCCCAGGCACACCTTAGGACCCACAGCAAATTGAAGAGCTAGAGGATTGGTTTGATTCTCTCCGAGGCCCCGCCCACCTCGACTAAACGCCCTATGAAGTTGTGTGTCTAGGGGGACTGGAGAGATGGCTCAGTGGTTTAGAGTACTGGCTGCTCTTCAGAGGACCTGGGTTCAATTCCCAGCACCCACATGGCAGCTCACCACTGTCTGTAATTCCAACTCCAGGAGTTCCGACACCTTCACACAGACACACATGCAAGCAAAACACCAATGCACATTAAAAAAAATAAAAAGTTGTAAATTTGGGGTGGAGCTGTTAGCAGCCCTGCCTGGCTGTAGAGGGCAGAGCTGTGGCTCCTGGGAGCTGTGCCATGAGTTCCCAAGTGTCCTGGTGTCCTCTCTGCTTCTTTGTGGACCACTGGGGTTCTGAGTCACGGTCAGGTCCTGGTGTACTCTGGCTTCTCGTTACAGTTGGTTTGCCCACAAAGCACAAAGCCTCCTTGAAGCAATTCTGCTTCCTCTTCGTGGTCATTGGAAAGTAACTTGTAAATCAGGGTAAGGAAGAAAACCTTAGATACTTAAATGATGGCCATAAAAACAGGACCTAATAAATACAACATATGATATCTGTGAAGCTAACAGCGTGCCGGATGCTAGCTTTTTAAGACAGATCGTCTCATTTTTTTTTTAATATTTTTTTTTTAATGTGGATTGGTGTTTGCCTGCATATATGTCTGTGTGAGGGTGTCGGGTCCCTTGGAACTAGAATTACAGACAGTTGTAAGCTGCCATGTGGGTGCTGGGAAATAAACCTGGGTCCTCTGGAAGAGCAGTCAGTGCTCTTAACCACTGAGCCATCTTTCCAATCTCCCAGATGACCTCATTTAATGCAGAATAGCATCAAGGCAGTTTTTCTCCTGCAGTATACAGGAATATCATCTGGGAAAAGCTAGGGAGAGGGCCCATTGGCTCTTGCTTTCTGCTTTTCTGACTGAACCTTCTCCTGCACTTTCACAATGATTAACTTATTTTAAAGAGAGGAATTCATTAACTCCATCTTGGCACCATCTTGGTCAAGTAGGGATAAAGAGGCGGAGTTCTGTGTGGTGGGTAAAGAAAGAGGCTCAGAGATAAGATGATGCGGTCGACGTCTTTGCAACAAAACTCTACCCACATACCAGGCTTCTGTTGCCCAGTTTATGCCCTCCAGAGTTCTTCTCTTCCTCTTTGGGGACATCTGTTCTGGGGAGCCTTGAGTTTCTCCGGGGAGCTCTGAGACTTCCAGAACAAGTTCCTACAGAGAGCTCATGGCTGGGGGCTCCAGCCCCACCCCATCCTTGGTGCCATCTACATGGGCGAGACTGAGTGCTGAGCACCAAGACAGAGCCCTCTGCCAGTGTAGACTCAGTGGGCGGAGTCCTTATTGGTAGGGAAGGGCAGGTGGTGAGAAGTCAGTCTGAATGAGTTTGCTCTCTCAGTGTTCCCATCCCACACCCCAGCTCAGAGCATCCACCCACCCGGGTGTCTTCCTGCCCTCCTGGACTAATCAGATCCCTCCTTTCCAAATTTACTCAGGGAATGACTGGGAACCCACCAGGCTCTGTGCAGAGTGGGAGAGCAGTAGGAGTTGATGTGCTGGATCAGCAGACGTTAGAACTCATCTTTAATAAAGCTAGCCAGCAACTTTATTAACAGCAGCAGAACTGGTCCCCAACAAGCGGCAAAGATGGTATCTACAGGTGTCCATCACTGAAGAGATAGCTCAGGACTTGCTTAGCATGTGTAAGGTCCCAGGTTCAATTCCAACCAAACACACACACACACACACACACACACACACACACACACACACACACACACACACGCTGATCCAGGATGAAAAACTACAGGAATACACTAAATGTCAAACAATAGAGGGGTCATAGAATGAAAATCTGACTTTCTCTACTCTGCAAATATATTAGGGGGTCCATCAATAATTTTACTATAAAATAGATGTATCGTGATGCAGGGAAATAACCATGCTTTGTTATCAATGGACAAAAGTAGGCCAAGCTATCAGAGAAGGCCTCCAGGAAGAGGAGGCTGGGCCTGCTCTCCACTCTGCCACCGAAGTAGCACAGCTGGGCTTCTCCGTGGGGTCACCTCCCCACCCCCACCTGTCCCAGGTGTCTCTGCTGGTCTCAGACTCCATTCCTTGCCTCTGCCCTGTCCCCTCTCGGTGCACAGACCTTGTGTCCAATCCGAGAGTCCAATAGGAGAAGGATCTCATGAACATTGTGATCATTCCTCTAAGGCGCAGCCAGGGCTTTTGAGCAAGCTGTTCGGGTCCTAACAAACCACTGAGTGCCCCCCCCCCCTCCCAATCTCGGCTCAGTCATCGCTGTATCTAGGAAACCTTTCTTGATTTCCCTGACAGGCTAGTCTCCTGCTGGCGCATCCTCCCAGCACCCACCACACACTTCCTTCGGCAGTTATTATTTTGCATTTATTTCTGTGACTGCCGGATGAGTGTCTTTCTGCATCCGCGCTGTCTCCCACCAGGATGACAAGCATGGCCTCTGTCGATGCTCTCCGTGCGCCCGCGCGCCCGCGCTCTCTACCACTCAGCAGGCTCCTTGCCAGGGAAGCTCTCGATAAATAAAAGTTGAGGTACAGATAGGTGAGTGGCAGGTGCTGGCAGGGGCTAGAGGAGCCTGCAGGATGGAGCGGGCGGGCGGGGGGGGGGGGGGGTGAGTACCGCAGACGTGCCTCCGAGGTACGACGGACGAAGCTAGGAATCAGGGCAGCTGAGTAGGTAGGTGGCTGCCTCGGTGTGACTTCAGGGTCACTAGAAAGGCTCTCCCCCCACCTCCGCTCCAGCGCCTGTCAGCCTGACAAAGGAAGACGAAGCTTTTGTTCGCAAACGCTTCAGAGCTCAGGCCTGAATCCCACCGTTTGGAGGGGGCTCGGGAAACTCCGTGGCATTCATTTGTGCTAAGGGGTAAATGACTGATGGAGGCTTTTCTTGAGCAAATTAGGATGGGGGAGGGAGAAAGGAGGAGACAGAATTGGGAACTCAGATGGGGAAGAGAGAGAGAAAATGACTCAGGGCCCAAGGCCAACCTTGAACTACAGAGCTCTTCTGCTTCTGGATTTTTTGCACCCACCCTGTTCCTATTGCGTATTAACAGCCCTTTTGGCAAATCTGGTTCTGCAATATTTTACATCTGGAAAACTTTCAACCAGGATGGTGTTCGGAAGCCTGGCTCGGAGGCCCCAGGATGACAACCTAATTACGTTCCTTTTAATAGTTCCTTCCCAAGTGCTCAGTCAGGGACATCTGCTCTGCTGCCCCAGCACCTTCAGGGAGGAATATTTTTAACAGCACCATGCCACAAAAGGAAACTCGGAAGGCTGGATGAAAACGGCCTCTGTGTTCCCAGTGCCCCAGGCCCAGGTAGGGCCTCAAGCTCTCTCTGCAGCCCAGCCCCCAACAGAGGCAAGGAGGCCCAGGGTTGTTAGGAAACGGTTGTTTTTCTCCTTTGTGTTTTCAGAGGTAAATTGAACATGCCGGGTTCTAAGCAGGCAGGGTGTCTACACGAACCTCAAGAGGCAAAGGAAATGCTCCCTCCCCTATTCCCCCATTCTGTCATGTGTTCTTTGGAACCCATCCACTCTTGGCCACATGAACTACCTTGTTGTAGCTGAGGGTCTCCACTCAGGTTTGTACTATGTCCGAGAAGGAAAGGAAGATAAAAGCTAGAAGCTGAAGGACTTACAGACTTTGTTTAATAGTTTGGCTTGCTAGGAAGGACAAGGGCTGATGGAGTAAAGGAGATTGCCTTTGTTTCTTTATTTTTTCAGACAGGATGTCTCTAGGTAGCTATGGCTGGCCTGAAACTTGCTATGTAGATCAAGCTGGCATGACCTCACAGACCTGCCTGCCCCTGACTCTCCAGTGCTGGGGTTAGAGGCATATGCCACTGGGCCTTAACTTATTTTTATTTTTATTTTTTTTTAGGACCAGGTCTCGCTATGCCGCACAAGCTGGCTTTAAACTAACAGTCCTCCTCTTGAGTATTGAGATTACAGGTGTTTGCCACCATGCCTAAGGGTAGAAGAACGCGTCTTGCGGATTCTTGGGATGAACAATTAAAGTGCAGGAAGCTGGAGAGCTGGGCTAGATCTTCTTTCTTAGAGGAGATACCGGAAGCCCAGAGAGGACAATGTACTTGCTCAAGGGGCTTGGTGTCGAAGCAGTGTTCAGACTCCTGTTTCAGCCACAGAGTTCATCAGTTCACCCCACCTCGCCGGCAGACCCTTGGTTGAACAGTGACCTGGTTCTGTAGGAAGCTCATTTTCTTTGAGACAGGAATACCTGTGGTGCACGGGGGACCACCTGAGCTGATGGCCCCTGGTCCCAGATGCCCACGCGCCCTTGAGGAGGGAAGAGCTGCAGGTCGAGCTGAGTTGTGCTGCCACGGAGACTCCCCAGCCACCCACTGTTCATTTTAATGACTGCTTCTTTCTCTCTCCCGAGGTTTTAGTGAGTTCTAAGCGCTGCGCAGCCTTTGGGATCCTCTTTCCTGTCTTTCGCGCCCCTTCGGGTCTTTCAGTAAAGACAGAAACATCCATTCTCCCCGAAAGTGCCACAGGTGAGAGATGCTGCTTTATGAGATGTTCTGGTTCGCGTCCGGAGACCCATGGATAGTTCGCTTCATTCTGTGCATGCTACCACGTGGTCATTGTAGTCATGACCGATCCCTCACCTTCAGCTTCCAAGGCTATCCCACATATTCAAGTCCCCGAGAGAGTCTCTAAAGGGCTCAGTTTGCCTGTGGCTTCAGATGTCCTGATCTTGGGTCCCATAGTCCTTTGTGACCAAAGCTGTTCACCTGTGGTACTTCCCCAAAGGGGCTCTGGGCTCCCGTGGACACTCCAATGCTATGTCTGAGTAACATTTGGGTATTTCAGATTCAGGCAGCAAAATGGCTAGACAGAGGCAGAGTAGGAGCTTGGTGACATGACCCAGCCGTCACTTCTAACACCATAGGGACAAATAATTAAGCCGGCCACAGATATGAGGAAGGTTGGAGAGGAGGTATGAGCTCAAACTATGCAAGAAGGCCAGTACTGTGGCGAACTTGTCTTAATTATAGCCTTTACCAAAGCCACGTCTCTGGCGGCCAAATGGCTACTCCGGTGGCTGCCACCATTAGCTAACACTGGATCCACACCAGACGCTGGTCTAAACACCTTCCGTTCATTAGCTATTATTATTATTGTTGTTGTTATTATTATTGTTTTTTGAGACAGGGTTTCTCTGTGTAACAGCTCTGGCTGTCCTGGAACTCGCTCTGTAGACCAGGCTGGGCCTTGAACTCACAGAGATCCACCAGCCTCTGCCCCAAGTGCTGGGATTAAAGGAATACACCACCACTACCCTGCTATTTTTTTTTTTAAGGTTTATTTTGTTTTTATCTATGTGTCTCTGTGTGGGTATGTGAGTGTCAGTGCAGGTACCTCTAGAGACCAGGAAGGGTATCCAATCCCCTAGAACTGGTGTTATAGGCGCATCTGAGTCACCCCATGTGGGTGATAGGAACTGAACTCCGGTCCTCCGCAAGAGCAGCAAGTGCCTTCAACTGCTGAGCCTTCACTCGAGACCCAGTTCTGTTCCATTCTGTTTTTCTTAAACACAGGATCAATGTGTACCTAAGGATCACCTTGAACTTTTGACCCTCCTGTCTCTACCACCTGAGTGTAGGATTACAGAGTACAGTTTGTTTGACAACGGGAACAGAACCCAGGGCTTCATGCACGCCAAGCAAGCACTCCACCTAACTGGGCTACGTCTCCAGCCCTGGGCAGTTCCTTTTTGGTTGGTTGGTTTTGGGGTTTTAGAGACAGGAATACCTGTCTCACTGAGGAACGCTCAAGCCGATGGTCCCTCGTCCCACGTAACCTCGGCTGGTCTCAAAGTCCTTATGTAGTTGAGGATGACCTTGAACTACTGATTCTCCTCCTACCTTCCAAATGCGGGGATTGCAGCCGCGTGCCCCTGTGCCAACCTCTGTTGGTTTGGTTTTTCTGCTACGGGGTTTTGCTTTGTAGTTCAGGCTGGCCTTACACTTTTGGCCTTCGTGATTCTCCCTCCTACTCACTAGGATTCTGAGTGTGAACCACAATGCCCACTGGCAGTGACCTTGAGATCTCCTTAGAATATATACCCTGTGGGGATGATGGCATAGTCATCATCTGCCTACACTGTAGTTCTGGGAGTACAAACTGAAGTTATCCGTGGGGGTCATTCAGTCCGGACCTGTAAATCTGGAGGACTTCAGGCAAGGTGCGTACTTCCGATGTCCATCTGCCTTTACTTTGCTTCAGGACTGTGCTACACACTACACTCCCTCAGAGGGCACAGTCGGTTATGATTCCTGCCTGAGGAAAACGTTTTCAGTGGATCCCAGTCTTATTTCATTTTGTTCCTTATAGCAAGCAACCCACAAATGGCGACAGAATTGACTCCTGTGCCCATTTTAGAGGTAGGAAAATGAAGGCTTACAGAAGCCCTCAGGGCCCTTCTCCAAAAGCCAGCCACCTTTCTCGTCATATTTAAACAAACCAAACAGACCAAATCTTGCCTCCGGGATGACCTAGCATCTGTGTGGCCTCACTCAGAACCTTTCCCTGACGTAGTTATCATCTCCCACCACTTGCCCTCAGAGTACCTCTTCCTTAGCCTTCCATTCTTCTTATTCAAATGTTATCTTGATTAATCTTTAATGTAACCCTGCTGCCAGTCAATAGCTTAGTACCCTATGCCCTGGCCTATGGGCTGGCCTAGCTGGCTTCCAGTCTTCCATGAAGCTGTCAAAGTCACACACACTTGGGGTCCAGCAGCAGATTCAAGTGCACAGACCGGGAGGGAAGCAGCTGCCTCACCTGGTCACGGGGGGGGGGGGGGGGGGGGGGGGGGAGAGCATGCCCCCAGCCCTGCTGACACACCCCTGATCTCAGCCTGCACCCCAGCCCTGCTGACACGCCCCTGATCACAGCTCCATCCCAGTTTTCCATTGGCACCACGCTGCTGCTGTTTATCTGTCTGGAATTTAACACCAGCCTCACCCATGCGCTTCCCTGAACCACAGTGACCTGCCTCTGTCCCACAGAGTCCCACTCACGTTTCCCGCCTCCCCAACCAGCACAGTCCCTTCTCCGGCCCACTGACAGTGGACAGTGCCTGCCCTCCCAATACACTTCCTCCCCTCTCCGGCAACTTAGTGCTTGTGATGGTGATTAGGAAGTGATGGTTATGTGACTTTGGTTAACTGACTAGGCTTCCCTCCTGCAGTCTCCACTCCTGAGCTCGGGCTGGACTAGATGAGGGATGGTGTTTCTTCACTGGTTTCCCCAGGATTTCCTCCTGACTACGCTGGGTAGGGGTCGGGGAGGAAGGGGGTCAGTGGAGAGGGCTTTCAGGGTTCCCTTATCCCCTTGAGTCAGAGAACTCATTGTAGAGATGTTGATGGAGTAGACTGTTTATTTCTTGACTTTTTATTAGTATATTAATTCCGTATAATAATGGGTAGATAATATGTTTTGATCATGTTCACCCGTTACTCCTTTGCTCCTTTCCACTCCCGCTGACCCACTTCCTCTCCCTTACTAGTCTCCCTTCTTCTTGCATGTTTTCGTGTATGTGTGAGTGTATGTGTGAGTGTGTGTATGTGTGTGTATTGTGTGTATGAGAGAGTGTGTATATGTGTGTGAGCATATGTGTGTGAATGTGTGTGTGTATATATATATATGAGTGTGTGTGAATGTATGTGTGTGAGTGTGTTTATATGTGTGTGAGTGTATGTGTGTGTGAGAGTGTGTATGTGTGTATGTGAGTGTGTGAATGTGTATGTGTGAGTGTGTGTATGAGAGTGTGTATATGTGTGTATGAGAGTGTATATGTGTGTGTATGCATGAGAGTGTGTGTATGAGAGTGTGTGAGTGTATGAGTGTGCATGCGCATGTGTGTGTAATTGTGTGTGTGTGTGTGAAAGTCAGTGTGTATGTGTGATCAATGAGTCACTCATTGGTGACCTACTGAATTTAGAGTTGTTTACAGGCACATGGGCATTGTACCAGCAGCTACACCACTGAAGGAAATGTCTTTCTCTTCTAGCAGCCATTAATAGCCTCAAGATCCTCAGGGAGGGTGGGTGGAGCCATGTGAGGCCCGCCCCTTATTTGTTATGTTTATTTTTGTATGTGTGTGTGTGTGATGTGTATGTATTAGCGTTGAATGTGTGTGTGTCACAGAGCATGAGCAGAGGTCAGAGGCGTTGGGAGTTGGTTCTCTCCTTCACTGTGGGTTCTGGGAACTGAACTCAGAGTATCAGACTTATATGACAATTGTCTTCACGCTCTCAGCCATCTTACCTGCCCCTTGTCTGTTTGTGTTATATTTTAATTTGGAGACAGGGTCTAGCTGTGTAGCACAGGATGACCTGAACACACGCACCCTCCGCACTAATAATAAGTAAAATAAAAACAAGCTTTTTACAAAGGTACTACAGAATACAGAGGCCAGAAGAGCTGGGCTAAGTGAGAGGCGGGTAGGAAAGGGTAGCTCACAGAGGGAAGCCATGGACCAGCTCCCTCTCCCAGCACACAGCAAAGCCAGGGGTTGTTCTGACCTCACACTCATTATTACCGTGCAGGATCTGTGTCTGTAGACTGTGGCTGGTGGAGCCTGGGCAGAGCGCGTTCTTGGGAGACAAAACAATGTTCCTAAGAGCTTGTCCTCAGACTCACACACCTTCTTCTTCCTCTTGCACTGTTCACGTCTCCTTCAGCTGCCCAGAGATCCTGGAACCCCACAAACCAGAAAGGAGCTCAGAGGAGTTGCATCCCTACGCTAGAGACTTAGGGACCCAACATGAGGTTGCGATCAAGGAGGGCTACATCTCCAGGGATTCTGGGAGGAATTCCCAAGCAGATGCCATCTGGGGACCTCGCAGTAGAGGGAACGCAGAGACCCAAATCTCGAAGGCAGGAGGAGTGGGATCGAGTGGGATCCAGCCCCCTTAGCCTACCATCATGTATACAAATGCACAGTGACCCTGAAGGTTTGCCTAGACCCCAAGTCCCAGCCACTCCTGTTCAACCCCACCGTCCCTCTGGTCCAGCATGTTTTCTGAGACACACACACACACACACACACACACACACACACACACACCCCTCTTACCATCACTTCCTCTTCTCTCCCGTCTGATATCTGATCCTAGGTAAACAAGTGACTAACAGAATGCAGATGACAGACTCAGATCGTGTCTCAGATCTACCAAGCTGTAGACAGAGAATGATATATTTAATTTTTAAAGTTTTTTGTTTTTAATATTTGTTTTTATGTGTACGAGTGAGTGCTCGTATGTGTGTGTGTATGTATGTATGTATGTATGTATGTATGTATGTATGTATATGCACCACATGCGTGCCTGGTGCCCTCAGAGGCCAGAAGAGTGTGTTGGAGCTGTTGGAACTGGAGTTATAGGTAGGGAAGAGCCACGTGTGGGTACTTGGGCGCAAACCCAGGTTCTCTGTAAGGGCGGCGGCAAGCATTCTTAACTGCTGAGCTTTCTCTGCAGTCCCTGTC